TTTTCTTCAACATGCCAAAGGCGCGTTCAATAACGTTCCGAAGAGATGAATGTCGAAGATAGAAGAGCTCCTCTGCTTTTTATGGGGCTAAATTTCCTCGACCATAAGCCTTCAAATGATACCTCACACCCCTAAATGGAGCTATGAAGTTTCGTGTATTCACATAACCTGCATCGACGAGCTAATATTTATCTGAATGCATATAAATAGCAAAAGTTATAGATATATATATATATATATATATTCTAAAAATAGCAATACTTTTGTAGGAAGTAGATAAGGACTATGACATTAATTAGCAACCTTGAAATGAAGTTTAAATATTCCACCAAATATAAAATTTTTAAGGAAGGAAAATAACTGTGACCTTTGGTAACCTGGTTTTATTGTAGCTTTTAACACAAAATAATCCGATGATGATCCCTCCCACCCAGCAAGTACATATACAAAACGAAGGTCAAAAGAACAAGCTTTCCATTACATTTTGTGATAAAAAGTTTTTTCCGTTTCGATATAGAGTTTGCTCTTCAACACCAATACTCACATAAATATGAGTACCATCTATTGCCCCAATGCAATTATTAAAAAAGTAAAGAAAGAAAACTTCAATTAAAATTAATCATCAATTTCCCAAAATTATCGAAAGATACATAAATTTAAAGTAAGTACCTTGAAAAAAGGATAATACATGCTTTTTTTGTGTATTTATGGAGATGCGCTACTTGAAGGTAGATGGGCATAATCGAATGATAATTTATGTATTGCATTAAGAACTCTTTCAAGATGGTGACTAACAGTTTCACCTGAGTTTTGGAACTGGTATTGGACTGAACGATTGCTTGAGCTCTTCCCCATGATATAAAAGAACATTGCTAACTGCTCTTCAACCTTTACACCTCGAGTATCATTTAGAAGATGTCTACTTGGAAAAATCTCACAAAAGTTTTGAAATACGTTCAACTCCATACGACAAACTTGAAGGCATCGTTCCCTATGACCTTTAAGTACTTCTTCCATGTATACATAGCCAGATAGAGATGAATTCCGAAGAGGAATCTTGTTTACATAAATATCATTATAACTGCAACGAGCAAGTGCAATAATTAACCGTCGCTTGTGCCGTTGCTTCTCATGCCGTTTGGCCATTTCCATCTCAATTACGTTTCTTTGTTTGTATGCTTGCCTTCACTATATAAAATAAATGAAAGATATTATAACGAAATTGAAAAAAAATTATGTGAACAAATGTATTATTTAAGGAATATATCTAACTCAAACAAACATCTATTACAAAATTGAGTCAATGTGCATTAGAATTTGACTAAGAAGAGTGTATTAGAAGTGCATATGAGTGCACACTAAAGCCATTTTCTCTAAGATCACAAATCAATGGGAAAAGGATAAGTAAAATCAGCAAACATTTCACACATGCCCTAAAAATCAACAAACATTTCACACATGTTACTCAAAAAATTAAGGTCCAAAAGTTATACAGAGATTAGGAAGTTATTCAAGTCACTAATTAAGAGCGAACCACAAAAAAAAATAAAAAATAAAAACATAAAATGGATGTTTACTCTACTCTGTGACATTTATAACGCATCCAATCCAAACGAAGTTCTCCTTCGAGAGTCACAAATGCGATGACCACATTTTCATTAACAAGTAAATCTATTGCTTGCACATGCTCACTTTGATTTTAAGCCTTCCAACTGCTGCAATTCTATCAAGTACTTCTTATATGAAAACTCTTTATTTTTTGTAGGCTTTTGCAACATTTGCGAGGTTGACATGTCTGCCCTGACTAAATTTTCAACAGCTGCTGTTAACCTACTTGCAAGGCTAGACCTCACTTTCTTACCACGATGTGGAATTAATTTCACAATAGCTTGACGTTTGTTCCTTTCAGAGGTGTCTATAGGCATATCATCTAAAGAGCTCAAATCACTCTCATTTACAATATAATGTGGGTCTGATTGTGGACTTTGCTCAAATTCATGTTCACTTATGTCATCTTCTAATGGCTCTTGATGAATAATCGATAATTGCCCTTTCCCTGTGGCATGTTTACCTATAGGCATAAAATGTCATATTCTAATGAGAATTGTAGTGCATTAGAATTGTAGTGTAATATAATAAAGTTAAATGAATATTATTAATAGAATGAAAAATCTTATCTTCTACTAGTATGGTAAGTTGATCATAAAAGGAAAAGCTCACCTTTCTAAATGGTTTTGCTTCAGGATGGGTCTGTTTGCGTAGATATGTGAGTTTTCCAAACATCTTGCATAGCTAAATTCCTACAACAACCAAAGAAAATAAAGAATCGAATAATCAACACTAAAAACCTACTTGAAGAAATCGATCCCACACTCCATTCGGAGCAGTTACAACATGGGCATTGTCATCCTAATCGAAACCACTTTGGTTAATAAGGTTATTCGCAATAAAATATAGCTTCTTAAGTGTAGCCCATCTAGTTTTCGATTGTTATACGGTATTTTGAACATCAAAATTTTTATTAAATACGTCAAAGACAGACCTCCAATCCTATTTCTTCCATCCAATATCAGATCGCTTCCCAGCAAAATGTAATTTTTTCAATTGTTCAACCATGAATTCACCGCGAGTTGCATTCCAATTTGCCTTGGTTGGATCTTGAGAGGTAAGGGGTTGTTCTGACATCTCTAGGCTGAATGATACCCCCTAACACTTGACAAAGTATCACACAATCTTGACTTTATATAAAATGGATGCTGTAGAAGTTCACATACATCACAGTTCAAACATAAACAATTTTAAAAAACAACAAATACCAAAGCAAATAATCAATAGAACGAACTCAAAGTTGTCGCACATTTATGGAGAAATATGTACATAAGCAATAATGAAAAATAACTTGCTTATAACTCATGTAGGGAATTCCTAAATGTTTAGCTCAATAACCTATGTCACGAACACTTCATCAATGATATCTCATACAATAGAAGACGACTAGCTCCATCAAACAAACATTAGGTCAAACAGATTCTATTACTCATACATTACTTTCAATTGTAGTGCATTACAAGGATTCGATCTAATCTAATTTCATACTTTACAAGATACATAACAACTTCATAGGTGGTGGAGCCTATAGCAGCCAAACATATAAGCTAGAGTTGCAAACTTGTAGTTTCTCGTTTCTATTGAAAGAGATATATTGGGAGTGAAGAGAGGCACGAATGATGAGGGAGAAAGAGAGAGCTTCCATTTAAGAAAAATATTTGATGAGAGAGAAAGAGAAAAGACCCTAATTTGGGTTTTCAAAGGGAATTATTTAGAATAGAGGAAATAGGTTCTACTCAGTTTATTCCCTTTTGGATTTAAAAACCCTAATTTGGGTTTTCAAAGGGAATCATTTTTCTCTGAGTTAGCAGCAAGCTGTGAAACAAGATGAAGGTTTGAGAAGTTCAATATTATAATGAGAGGGAGAGGGTAGAGAGTACTTTGGATGGGCAAAAGAGAGACCTCGTTTACAAACCTTCCTCTGAGACGTCTTTTACATACTTCCTGTGCTAACGTTTTGAGGTTGTAAAACACCTGCCTCTGAAAATTTTTTGGGCCTGCTTGAGAGTGGGAGAGAGGCTTTTGTAGGTACGATTAAGAGCGGGAAGGTTTTAGGGAAAATACGATTGAGAGCAGGAAGGTTGGGAAAAGGCGCGACGAGGAAAGCGAAAAAAATTGAGTCGAACTCAATTTTTTTCCACTCACATTTTTGGGCAAATTTGGCGTAACGTCATAATTTATTTTGATGGGGAATAAAATCCAATGGGGTTATCCGAACAGTTCCTATTGCTATCTCAATCTTTTTTTCTTGTGATTTAAAAATATTGCAATTTTGGGTACATCAAAACTGGCCCTAAACCTTTATATTGATTATCTTGATTGCGAGATAATAACATCAAAGAATAAAGGATTTTAAGTCATAAAAATAATACATCTTATATACGCATTATATAGACAATTCATTTTCAAGAATTTCAAATATTTATAGAATTGCTTGATGTAAGATATTGTCGGTCCCAAATTTTGATTATAAATGACATATGTTGTGTTAGGTTGGTAAGTCAGTGTAAAAGTTTTTCCACTTCTCTATCAGGAATTTTGATCCAATATGGAATAGCATAATTCATGTAGCTAACCCCAACATAAATTTTTGAATCCAATATGGAATAACGTAACATAATTCGTATAGCTAACTCCAAATAGTTAGGATCATTATACAAAACCACAACTCGGGGACAAAACTCAGCCCATGCTTGAGCCAAGTAACTTGGGTTGAGTCCCACTAAGTAAAAATGTGTTACAAAATACAAAAAAAATACAAAAATAGGTAAAGTATTAAGCAAAACACATCTAAATGGACTTAAAAAAGTAATAAAAAATAGAATTTTTTAAAAATCGATTTGTGACAGGAGGTATCTTAGAAACAATAAAAAATGTAAAATATAGAAATAAGTATTCATAATCAAAGCACTTTTCAATCTATGCCAAAATGATAGAATTTTTTAATATTAAAATTTTAAATTTTATATAAAGATCCCCAAGTTTGACGACCCAACTTAAGGATACTCAAACTCCAACCTGCAAGTCCCAGTTGCTCGAGTGAGTATGAGTTGGTTTGGCCGAGTTTTTTTACACAATAGGTAGGATAAGGCTCATGATGATAGATCTACTTGACGTGCACTACCTTTTAAATCTTTAAATTTTATAATGATAAAATAGATACTCAGGTCATGTCACGAGTTACTGGCGCAAAAACTATATATTTGGACATGGTGGTTCTCCTTATTTTGATTATCAAGGCTTACTCCCCGTACAAACCGCTAATTTTTCAATAAATTTTTTTAAATCATTAGGTTTTCTTTGTAAATAAATTGAAAGAGAAGGGGCAATTAAGTACTCCTCAAATCTTTTATCGCGCCCACCGCGGGCGACCCATATAATGCATCGAGCCCTAACTTTCGTTTTCTTTTCTAGCGTCGTGTGCACTCTGGAGTTGCGGAGGAGTAAACCCTAATTATTCATACGCTGCGAGATTGAGTGCAGAAAGCCATGTCACAGGTAACATTAAAGTTTTAAAATTTTATGGTCTCTGTTGATTTCGCCATTATAGGTTTCGTTTCTTTGACGGATGCTAATTCCTGTGTGTCTAATCCGTGGTTTTATTTATTTATTTTAGGCGTTCTTTATTTGTATTACTATTTCCACTGACATTGTTAAATATTTGAGCTACTCTCATTTCATTTGGATCATTGAAGTTCTAAAATTTCATGGTCTCTGTTGATTTGGCCATTATAGGTTTCCTTAGTTTGACGGATGCTAATTCCTGTGTGTCCAATCGGTGGTTTTATTTATTTATTTTAGGTGTTTTTTCTTTGTATCACTATTTCCACTGATATTGTTAAATCTTTGAGCTACTCTCATTTCATTTGCGTCACTGTTGAATTTATCCATTGGATTGATTGTGTGGTGTGAATTGTGTGGTGTGAATCTCTAGAGCATCTTTCCTTTTCCAGTTTGTTTTTGTTATTTTATTCATCCACTGTTTCTTTCTCCCACAACATGCAGGGGTTTCCGCTTATTTTCATCTGCATCAATAGGTTACTCTATATCTCTTCGCAATGTTTCTCCTTCTACTTATATCTCCATATTACTTTTAGTTTACTTTGTTTTCTTTTAAAGAGTAGGGAGCCAATATTTAGATTTATGTTTTGCTTATGTTTCCCCCATTTCTTTTTTATTTATTATAATGCGTCTTCGACATGTTGTTTGTTGATGTTATTTATTTCTTGTTATGTTTTTGAGTTTTCCTGATTGTTTTACCTAGTTATACTTCGGAACCCTCAACATCTTAAGTGATGGTACTTAGCTGTACAGCCAGTTGTTTTACCTATATTGGAAATTGTAACTTGCTTTATTTTGCCAAATTGACAATGCTTAAAAAAATGCTGCATCTTAAATGTGGTTAACTTCCTCCACCGCGGGGTCTTTTTCTCTGGGGGAACCATTATCATTTTACTTCATTGTAATTTCCTTATGTACTTGGGTTTTGATGATTATCATCACACCGACCGATGTTTACTTCCAATGACATTTCTGTGAGCTGTAAGATGTAAAAATGGTTTCCATATTGGGCCTTTTCTTATTATTTGCAAACTGCAGGTCGACAACCGTAATCCCTCGGCCTCCAAACGTGCCCGTACTGATGGTATGCCTTTTTATTGGATTTCATGTTGGGTCCCTTTATTCTCATTATCGGTTAACTGTTTCTTTTACATATGTTCGTATAAGATATAATGAGAATTAGTGGGGCCATCCATCTAGGCCCTTATCATACATTTCTGGAAGATGTTTCAGATTTTTTGTTGTACCCTTCTAAGTTTATTGTGCTTTCTACAAATCTTATATAGAATTTGCAACCATATGTGTATCACTTGTCATTTCTAGTTTTCCATGCTTTAATGGAAATGTATAAAGCGTGGGGTTTGTGTAATGCACCCTCCTTGTTTAGATTTTGTCTGAGATGTAGTTTTGGAATTGGAAATCTTATGATGGCTTGAAAATCTATTTTAATATAATTATAAAATTTTAAATTTTTAAAAATGGTATAGATAGAGCAGATCGATTAACATTTGAAAATCTTGGAAATAGGAGGTCTAGATAATTTATTGCAAGATATATCATTTCAAAGACTTGAAATTATTTTTTTCTTCATATCCATACATCTTGTGGTTGAGATGTCAAATTATAGGGTTTTCTAACATTAGAACACTCTCTTCAAAGGGAGTATTGAAGTGCACCTTACCTCGATAGTATAAGGTTGACACCTTATATAAACTTTTTCCATATATAAATTGACTAGGAAATAAAGAGCAATTGTATCATTTTGGTCCCAAAAATTTGTGAGAAGACAAATCAAGATTACATCGTTTGTGGTCCAAAAATAACATATTGAGTCAGAAAGGGTAAAAGATTGTATTCTCAAACTAGCAGGTGCATGAAGAAAATCGGATGCCCTCGATTCAAACTCAAAAAGGGATACTAGAATAACTGTTTTTTAATGCACAAAGAGGGATTGCAATTTATTATTGTGTCAATTATTGCCTTTGATATTCTGACCTTTTTTTTTTTGGGTGGGACTAGCATAAATGTAAAGAATGCAGTAAGATATGATCCACCTTTCAATTGTTGTAAACTGGTCTTTCACTCCAACAGTGGTGTAAAATGATCTGCTATTTTTAAGAAACAGCCATTTATTTATACAAAGTCGGGAAACATGATCCTTTCTTCAAGGAATTAAGCATACTTCCATATCTTTTTATGGTAAGTTCCTACCTTGTAAGCATTAGGAAGTGACAACAAAAACCTTTTTTGGTATGTTTCCTCTGTTTATCCATAATGATATATATATATATATATATATAATCTCAAAATAATTGAGGTATGATATTCTTGAAAGTATTGTTAACAACTAATAAATATCGTTTTTCTCTTTTATTTTCTAGAAATGTTTATTTAAACAAGATGCTGTCCCGTCTTTTGAATACAAAAGTTTTTTTTGTTTATGTATTACAAAAAGGACTCTGATTTTTGTAAGCAGACATGTTTAATTTGGGTTATTCCTAATTGTGATCTCTACGTCAACCTTCCATGGGAGGCATGGGCTGGACGCTTCTAAAGATATTCAACTACTATAAAATTGTCTTTATTAGATGGCCAAGTCCAATCTCCAGCAGGTTTATTAAATTGGTGTATTATATCATTGAAAAGTTCCCCTGAGTGTTCAATAAATACTTGTAATCATGATGTTTTATGTGTTCTACTTATGCCTAGACTTCAGATGTTGCAACTTAGGCCCCAATTAAGTGGACATTGTTGGATAACTCTTTGAGCACTAGGTAACTATAAATGTAATGTTTCATATGACTGATGGAAGAGTTTGGTTTAAATTGATTTTAAGCGGTTTAAATCTTCATCATATTCCTAGTTACATCTGATTATAGTGACATTAAAGGTTCCTTTTACTGTCGATTTGCAGTTTACAGTTTAATGATCATTTTTTAAAAAATAGCGCTCTGGCTGGTTAGCAATTCAGAGTTCTTGGTTCAGTATGTAGGCATGACAATTCGATTTTTAGTTCTTTGTAAAATATTTGGTTTCGTCGCATATCTTATATGACTCGATTTAGGGTTTAAATTGATTTAACTGATTTTAAGCAGTTTGGAGTAGTTCAGGAAATCTTCATCATGTTCCTATTTACATCTTGATTTTACTGACATTAAAGTCTTTTACTGTTATTTTGCAGTTTATATTTTAATAATCATCTTTTGAAAAAATAGTGCTCTGGCTGGTTAGCAATTTAGAGTTGTAGCTTCAGTATGTATGCATGACATGTCGAGTGTTAGTTTTTTATAGATTATTGGTTTTGTCGCATGTCTTATATGACATGATTTAGGGTTTGTTTGATTCATATGAGTCTTTTAATTTGAAGATCATTCTCTTTCTCATTTATTGTTTTGGTTTATATAGGTAGTCGCAGAGAAGATGACTGGACTTGTCCTACTTGTGGAAACGTTAATTTCTCATTCAGAACCACTTGTAACATGCGGAACTGTCACCAATCAAGGCCAGTCGATCATAATTCGGTATGTTTATGTTTCAACTGGAGAGGGGGTAGCTTAAGAAATTCCACTCGATATGTCTATGGTCTAAAGAAGTTAGGTAATGAAGTGGGTGAAAATTTTACAAAACTTGCTGTACATGGGGAGAACACATGAGGTGATGATAAGAGATAAATTTTTGAAAATTCAGGAAAAGGGTGCATACCATTGGCATTACATGTGACATGTCTATTTCTTTTGTGTGTCGTTCGAGTTCAATTAAATGGTGGTTGTTTTGGTAGTTTGTCTATGGTTATTTTGGTAGTTTGTCTATGGTTGTAGGCACATGGACCTCTTACTAACGTCATGGTGAAGATGTTTTGAGGCTATGTGCCATACTTGACCATACTCAACTATAAAAAAGAAAAAGACAAAAGATCTTAAGACCTCAACTAGTGATAAAGAACATGGATAAGTTATTTTTGGGTAAATAACAACATGGATCTTAAAGAGCTCCAATCACATTTCTTTCAGGATGCTGTTGCTAATTCTTTGCTTGTCTTCATGGATGAAAGATTAAAAAAGAAATCTGTCTATTGGAACATCGATTGTCAGTTGAGGTGCCTAAGATATAGTTTAATGTTCTGCACCATATATTTCGAGCCTGAGAAATTAAAGAATCCGGACTACTTTTGTTCTTTTCAAAGCAATGTTTTTTCTTTTCTCCATATGTAGTGGCTGCTTCAAATCATAACGAAAAGTAGTCCCTTTTTTCCCCTTTTATGAAAGGGGATGGTATCCTGTGCAAATTTTTGCTTACCGCCCTTGTAATCAAAGTTAAATGATTTATTAGGTAAGTTATACTTTGCTTTCTAATCTTATCTCTAATTTCCAGAAATCTGCCACCAAGCCCCCACAACTTCCTCCAAGCTATTCTTCTTCTGCTTATATGGGTGCTGGTGCTGCATCATCTATGTATCTTGGTATGCCTCCTTATGGTTCTTCTCTATTCAATGGAGGTTCCTTGCCCCCTTATGACCTTCCTTTCACGGGAGCAACTGGGTACCACTACGATTATGGAAGCCGCCTTTCTGCTGGAAGTCCATATGGCCCATTGCATTTGTCGGGTCCCTCACCATATACTAGTGGAACCTTGATGGGAGCTGGTAATTCATTGCTATCCTTCGCATCTTATTTTCTGTTTGTCAGGATCTCAACGTGCTATTGGTTGCAAGCAGCCAAGCAGTGGATTAAACTCGCAGAGTCTGACTCGGGGCATCAGTGAAATATTTAGGGAACTGGCTGAGAGTCTTCGATTCCAGGGCTTCTTATTTAGTTTTCTTAAGACTCGATCAAGCCCGAGTTCGAGTTGCTGACTCATTCCCTGGCCCTGCTTGGTTCCAAGGCCAAGTTGGAGTTGGAAAACATTGGTTACAAGGGTGCCAATTTTGTCATATGCATTCTTTTGTGTCGTTTAAAGATTATTATTGCTGACCAATATAAAATGTTAATTGTGAGGGGCTGATACTATACGATACTATACTATTTCCGAGCAGTAAAATAGTATGGTACAATTTACTCATGGTCCTCACCTGCAATCTAATGCTGGATGATGAAGTGGGACTCCTTAGAACCCTAAAGCGGCATCCTACTCTCTCTCCATCAATCTCCATGCTTTTAATGGAATGTGATGTCTGCCATTGACTATGGTTCTCCATTGTCCATAAATTATAATTTATGGCTTATGTTTCCTCCAACGAAACATGTCTTTGCTTGCTCTGCAGATGTTACAACTGTGTTATATTTCGTTGCATTATTTACTGATGTATGCTGGTTGTAGGTTATGGTTTGCCGCCTCGGATGGATAGATATGGCATGGGCATGCCCTTGGCTCCAGCTGCCTTGGTGAGAGCCATTTCTTGTTAATATAAATACACGTTGACTGTTTCACTAACTATTTAGGTAAAACATATCATATTTGCTTACTTTGGCTTCATCTATTCATTTGGTTAGTAATGTAATAAAACCAAACCATGGGGTTTAATTAGAGGATGGAGCATTCTGGCCTAATTTAACTAATTGAACTGGATAGAAATTTAAGAAAAAGAAACTGTGTACCAATTGATTTGAGCTGTTAGATCTTGTTCAACCGGAAGGTTCAATGCAGTCCAGACTTCAGACCATTTTAAAATGGTTCAAATAATTATGGAAAAGTCGTTTTTTTGTCTTACATCCGGTTTCTTATATCTGGTACTCAGAGTGAGGCTTTTTGGCTCATATCTACCAGATTTCCAGGAACCTTCGGGCCGGTCTAGTGAATGACTTTGCCCTTGCAGGCAATACCTTGGAAGAACTGAGGACTTCCATCTTGTGTTGTTGTATTCTATTCGCAATATTTATATAGGATGAATTAACTAAGTTCTATTATTGCTGCAGGGTGGAAGACTGGGAGCATATCCAGAGGATACCCCTCAGAAACGAGGTGGAGGTAAGCGTCCATAAGGATGATTTTACGTGTCTTTTGATTTGGGATTCTTTGAACAAATATAGAGATACAATTTTAACATCTTCTCTTTTTGGGAAGAAAGTTTGACAGTAGACTATTTTTATTCAGAGGGGATGCGCGATAGTGACTGGACATGCCCTAACTGCAAAAATGTGAACTTCTCGTTCAGAACAGTATGTAACATGAGGAAGTGCAACACGCCAAAACCTGGGACTCAGGTACTTGCTTCTTTCCTTGCTTTCTTTGTTGAGGGAGATTTCTGACGGCCCTTATGATCTAGATGGCCTGCTTGTTTTCGAGGTTTAAGTTGATTCCTTGACTGTTTTTCCCGTAAAATGCCTGTTGTTCTTAAATTTGAATTTCTCAAGGCGCAGAGAATCTGAAACACGTTATGCACTTGTTTTACATCTTCCCTTCTTTAAGCATTGATGAAGCAGTTTCTTTAACTCCATAAGTTTGACCAAATAAACATATCAACTCTGGTTATGGGGAAAAATCAACCAACTGGGAAGTAGCAGGATCTTCTGCTTGAACCCGTTTTAGCAGTCGTTTCTGTAAATAGCAGAATGGGCTGATTGGTCCAAGGATTGTATTGGGAACTGGCCTAGAACCTATGTTACAAAACATTGATATGAAAGTCTGTTTTTATATGGGTTTGAAGAGTCCGTCTCACCTACTTATAATTTGCCAATTATAGTACGGCGTGTCTGTACAAGTCCGTACAATACATACATGTCTATATATTTGTGTTATAATTTGTAACATGTAATAAAATATAAAACACAGTGCTGACATTTCCTATTTCAGCTTGTGTTGCATGATGACATTTGTCGATACTTAGACACTTGTTGACGTGGGGGACACATGTCAGACACTTTGACCTCTTTGTCTACTGTAATTGGGAAAAGTTGAACGTGTGATCGTACTACACACGTTCTGTTGTATGATTTGTGAGACGCTAATATTTACATTCTTTGCGATCAAAATGTCCTCCATTTTGAGGGTGTATTTTCATTTCACATATTAAGACGTTTTCACCTGGCTAGGCCACTAGGTATGGAATATTCTATTTGGCATCTAACTAGCTTGAGGTAAAAAGGTGGGTAGGTGGGAGATAGAGAATAAGGGCTAAAAATGGCAAGTACTGCCTGGGATTGGTGGAGCTCCCCACAACGTGATTCAGCGGTATTGTAAATATGGGTGTGGTTTGTATAAGGTGTCAACATTAAACAATCAAAGTGAGGGGCATGTCTAAATCTTGTTAAAAGATGGAGTTTTAGTGCCAGAAATTCTTACGATGACCTAAAAATCTATTTTTCACCACTAATTATGAAATTTAAATATCCAAAAATAATGTAGATGGAGAAAATCTATAATGAAAATGGACGGTCTAGATAATGTGTTACAAGATGCAGTTTCTTAGGACTTGAAATCTTTTTTTTTTTTCGTATTCATACATCTTGAGGTTGAGATGATCAATGATAGGGTTTTTTGATGTATGGACAATATGTTTGTGTGGATTTTTGAAGTGCACTTTACTTCGACATTATAAGGTTGACACCTTATGTAAACTTTTTCCTTTAAATATAGTTCTTTCTTTTTTGTGTTTTTTCCTCCATTTCTACACCATTATATTTTACTTAACTTGTATAGCATTTTTACTACTTTGTATAAAATTTTTGTATGAGCGTGTTGTCCATGTTCTAAGTTTTGAGGCCAAGGATTGTGACACTGGCGGCATGTGTTTGACACTGACATGCCTTTCAGTGTCCTTGTAACAGAGCTGTGTCCTTATTAATAAAGACATGTAGCAAAATTGTAAGACAATCGCCTTTGTGTCTCACAGAATGACACTTGTTACAATGCACACGTGTCCCTACTAAACAGACATTTTTGACGTAACAAATAGACACTTGTGTCTTGTTCATCCAATCTGTGGACTCTCACATGTCTATATCGCGGACTCATTGGTCTGTGAATCTAAAAAAAGGAAAATTTACATACATGTCGACAAAAGATTACTCATTTTGTCTTGCCTGTTTACATGTGTGTTCCATTTGATGGTGTGTCAGATTCTTCTGAATTCAAGCAACATCGTACATACCCTAGAACTGGCCTCTTCCATCTTATTATATGGTGGGAACCTGCTACAGCCAGTGTTGGACCTGTAAGACTGGATGAACAATATTTTTTAGGGGACACTTATCAAATTACCCTCATGGGATGAGCAATTTAACACCTTACCCATATCTTTTGATTTAATTTAAAAAATACCCATAAAAAAATGATCTTGAGTTGGAATAGTTGCAAATGGGTAGAATATGAACTAGTTCATCTCTCGGGTATTTTGATAATTTTTTTTTTTCCTGCAATGACTGATCGGGTCTTACCATTTTGTATTGAACCAGCTGCATAAGTAGTTTGATGACCAATAACCAGTCTATATATTTTCATGGTCTTAGCTCGTTTCAACACTTTGTTGATACTTAGAGTTTTTTTTCCTCTCTCAAAATATGCTCTTACGTTGGTCTTCTTTGTATTCAAAATATTTTGCTCGGTTATGCTGTGCAGGCCACAAAATCTGAGAGTAATAAAGGCTCTAGTAAGTTTGTTCTTCCTGTCTTTTTCACCTTTAAATGTCAATGTCTTAATGAAAACAAGAAGAAAGATGAAGTGATAAATTTTACTTTCTGCTTGGTTTCTGCAGAGCCACATATGCCTGAAGGCAGCTGGAAGTGTGAGAAGTGTAATAACATAAACTATCCATTTAGGACCAAGTGCAACAGGCAAAACTGTGGTGCTGATAAACCTTCGGACACTAAAAAATCCCCTGGGTTAACATCTGATGAGGATGATCAGGTTTGTTGTGAGTTGTATTTTCCTTGTTCATCCCTATGTTCGTCACTATGCCATTTAGATAATCCGGTTTGGTTCAAAATAATTCCTTGTACTTGTCATGTCAGATACACTAAACATATAAAACCAAATAACCCATCTAAGCTTTCCTTCAAATTCTGGTTTCCTTGCTTTATTATAAAAGCTTCCGCTTTCCTTTTCAGCTCAGGACTTATGTTTTCCCATTGCAATTATTTAATGGGAAAATATAATCAAATGGATTATGGAAAGAAGCATAGTCCTTTGGATCATCACTGCCTGATGAAATTGTGGATTTTGATGGAGAGAGAGCATGACCTATTTTTGATTGGAGTCATGTCTTCTCTGATATTTTGGTTGGACTCTCTTTATCACTATGGTGATGATCCATTGGGAGATAATTTTTCCATAGTGCATTGGACTATGGTATAGTTAATGTGTACTTTTTAAGTTGTCTGGGTGCTTTAAACTTCTCCCTACATCGATTGATTTTATAATTGTTCTACTGTTCCAGTGAGTACTACTAGTACACTATGTGGGTCGAGAAGGTCAAAGTTGTTGGCGTTGCTCACATGAGGTGTCTGAAAGTCAGTTATGTGTCATGTTGGCGGCCATTGTCGAGTTCCTCCTCATGATCTGTGTCGAAACTTGTTGTATTAGATGGACCTTGGTTTTCGTGGTTACTGGTTAGCAACTTAAATTTGGGAGTTATGGTCTTTATGGATCTTCTTTATTGAAGTCTTGGTCATATCTTGACTGGGTATAATTGGTATAATTATACAGGTTGGTTTTGTGGGTTACTTGCAGGTAGGTATTTCTGTGCTTTTTTAACGTGACTCTTGTCTACTCTAGTTGGTGTACTGTGTAGATGTGACATAAGTTTCCTGGTCTTTTGCTAGTAGGGCCTGCCAAATCCTGCAGTTTTCACTTTAAGTTCTTCCTAGGTTAGTTGTTGGATTGGATCATAAATTTTTTCTTTTGGGACCTCTTTTGGGGACGTGTCTCGTTTCGTAGTTGTTTTAAATGTATAGCTTTTCTGTTGGTTTTTTATTAACTTTTTCCTTTCAAGTTGGTTTTTCGACTTATTTCTTTCAAAATCCTTATGAAAAAACTGAGTTTATTTGAATTTATTTAAGTTCAGCTGTGTATGGGCTTTTTTTTTTTTGTTTAAGAATCCTTTATTTTTTTTATTTTTAATGTGGTTGGTCGGTTAGTTTTTCTTGGTTCTTCCTAGGAGGATGGTGGGCATGGGGTTTTAATTTTTCCCTTTGGTTTTATTGGTTAGACCCACCAGTGAGTTATGCTTGCTATGTTTCATATAGTTGCATTTGTTTAATTGTTTGGACCTCTTTGTTTTTGCATGCGTCGCTTGGTTTGCATGTAGCACAAGTTTTCTAGTTAGTTGCTTATCTATTCTGCTTTTAAATGAGTTATGAGTCTATGTAGCTATTTTTGAGAACCCGAGGCCTTGATTTTTGAAACTCAACGCTCCTGATTTTTACATCTCAGGCTTGTGGCCATGTATAATAGTAGATTTGAGCCTTTTGACCTTTTATCAAAGTAAGAGATACTAGAGTTTAGCCCCTCTAGGTCATTCACTCAACACTTTTAACCCCTGGATTCTAGGCCTTAATTCCGAAACATTGTGTGTTTCATGGCATTAGGCTCTGAAACCTTCATTTTGGCTCCTATTACGAGTTCTACTTAAACTCTATTATCTGGTCACTTGGGTCGATTAGTTTTACTAATAGGCTTTACGTCCTGTTCCTTCTCGCAAACACTTCTAAAACCTCAAGTATACAGTTTGCCAATGTCTTATCTGTTTTGCAAATTGTGAATGTTGCATTGTTTAGGTACAATGTTGTTATCACACTTACACTGCACTATTAGAAGTTGACTGTGATATATAATTTGTATTGGAGAACTCTGCACGAGTATGTATTAGAAAAGTGAAAAGGTTCGGTCAGCTTTTTGTTGGGCTATTTTGGACAAAGCTTAACAGCTCCAACCCTTGACCCTCACCCAAACTGATGTGTGCAAACTGATGTGTGTGCCATTGGACTACTGAGTACCCTGAACCATCCCATGAATATCGGTTGTTCATATTTTAACAAGACTCCGACATGGGAATGTCTCATGTAATCTGGACAACGGTAATGGTCATGCGTCATGGGTAGTACTTCCCAATTTAATATCAGTTAATATCTTGTCCTATCAGTAATTTTTGTCTCTGGCATTTTGATGGGTGGCTAGGGGCATAAAAGTTGCACTTGCGTATAATTACTTGGTGGTATTAAGCATAAATACTTTGTTTATGGGGGGGTTATGGCCTCACTGATGGTACAATCCTTAATAGAGCAGAATAGCTAATCGGGTTTTATGTTAGCCGATCTTAATTAGTTAGAAAAAGGTTTTGACGATGATGATGACGACAACTTTTGTTTAGGGCATTATACTTTTTAGGGTTGTATTCGCAGTAGGCTCTAACTATACTATAAGTTTTTGGGCTGAAGTTTTGCATTTCTCTTTGAATAATATATATATTTTTTTCATTCAGAAGCTGAATTTACTAATGTAGCTTTTGCTCGATGCGTGTTTTTGTTTATTGATGTGTTTGGGCATCTCATTTATCGAACTCGATAAATAATACGTAATCTGTGGGGATTTATTGGGATGATAATTCTTGAATTAACAATTGTCGATTAGCATTTTGCTATTGTTGTCAAATTGGGTACTTTGGATATTTTCTATTGGATATAGGGTGTATTTAAATTTGAATGAGAAATGTAAGGTTGATAATTAAATATAATGCCCAAACGGTTTTGGGACGGGAGAATGACCCATTTTTTACCCCCGTGAACTAGTGCCTCTTTTGGCTCTGGTTTTCCTGAACTATTTTGCTAGTTAAGTGTCCATATGCGTCCGGGGATCCCAACCTACATTTGAGTCTCGGGTCCGGGGATCCGAACCTACATTTGAGTCCCCCGAGACGTCAACTATCCACCCAAAGATGGATGCAAATGTTGGTCCCTACCCCCTCCCCCCAAAAAAAGGTAAGATCAATGGTTTAAATATTTTCTTAAAAAATCACTTTTTAATTTATAAAATATAATTTTTTGTATAATAATGAGCTCCATGTTATGGATTATATGTCTTAAAAAATTAAGGTCAAAATTGTCAAAATCTATTTTAAAAAAAGATCAGTCAAAATCTATTTAAAAAATAGATTATTAGAAGGGGCTGTGTTTCTACATATGAGTTTGGGGATTAATATAAATAATGTCCGTTTTGTTAGTAAACACGAATGTTTCACATGTTCTTGAAATGGAATCATCATAATCATTGTTAAAGCTTTTTGTCAATTAATTTGGGTTTGGATGCATGACTTTTGTTGTCATTCTAGCAAAGGATATGGTCTGACTAAGGTCATATGTTTCTATGTTTTTTCTCACTATTTCTAATTATGTCTTAGATATCGAATCTTGAGCAAAGATATTTTGGTAATTGGTATATGCAAAAGTACCTTCGACAGAATTGCCTAAACATCCTTAGTCATTATATATTCTAAACCTAGATTAAATGGGGGGAAATTTCTAGTGACCATTAGTTCCCAAATATGCCATAATGTTTGTGCATCGGGCTTGGATCAAAATGTTTAATTAAAGAGAGTATATTTGAGGTTGTAACTGTGTAAATAATTCTGTTTAATTTAATTACCAAAATGGTCTTGTTATAGATATATCATTCCAATGAAAATTGGATATTTTTTTCAAAATATTTTTGAGAAGGTGCATAAGTTAATATGAGTTTTTAGAAACTAACCACTTAGGTGAATCTGTTCATCTGGCCACCTCGGCGATTTTTGGAGGTGATTTGACCATTTAATGGTATTTTCACTATAATTTTTGTTTTTTGTAGTTTAGTGGTATTATGTAGATTTTTGTTTTCTAAATATCGATTTAAGTGAACTCTTAAATTAGATAAGAGCACGCATGCTTTGCTCCCTCAGGATCATATTTATTTCTACTTCCTCAGTTAGATGACTTAACTGTGAGGATTTTTTAAAGCTAGAATTTTGGTGACTACCTTAGAATTATTAGGCGATTATTCTCAAAAAAGAAAAAAAAAATAGAGTTTTCTAACACTTAGATCGCACCCTCTAAAAAGTGGAATGTTTCTATTCATTCTTGAGACATTATTTTTTCAAGTGCTTAGAGGGCTGGAGATGGAAAGTTTTTTTTTTTTAATTGGGGTTAGCCTATGTATTAAATAGGCTATGGTCCCAAAACTTATCCTAGGTGGGTTGTACTTGAGGGAGTAGAGTATCTTTAAATGAACAATATACTATTGAGGGAGTCGAGTATCTTTAAATGAACAATATACTATTGAGGGAGTAGAGTATCTTTTTGCATTATGTGAACCTGCTCATTGGTAGAATCGACGGCATTGAATTACTATTTGATGTTAATGAAATTAAGTTGGAATCGGTGTTTGGTGATTTACACGTTAAAACCAGTGATTCAAGACTAAGTGATCCAGATTAGAAATTGCTGGTCTAGACTAAGAATCATTACTGGACAAATCAATTTTTAACAAGTAACGGGAAGCGGTTTCACTCAGTAGTGGGTCCCTTGTTCATTAAGGGAATTAAGTCGCTTCACCAAAGATCCCATATATTTATATTATTATTAGTTATAATAATAATGAAAGTTATAAAAATGTAATATATGAGAAATTGGTGAACTAATGAGGATGGGTGAAAATCAGTTTTAATGGGTAGCGTTAGGGATAATGGACAAGTGGTGGCCTATGGGGGTCTTCTCAAGAAGAATGCTGGGAAGATTCTATGAACTTATAATGGTAGTTTGCACGCTACGCTCCTAATATGGGCTGGGCTGGGCTGGGCTGGGCTGGGCTTGACACTTTGGAGGAGTAAGGAAGCTGGTGGATGGCTTAGCACAAGTAGTAGTCAAATGTAATGCGACTCCTTAAATGTTTTCAAGTGGTGTAAAACCTTGGAATCAATACCATGGTAATGGCTCAGATTTTGGATCGTATCCTCGTGGGCAATCCCAAGTGAAATAGTGCAGGCCAGGCTTAGTAGTATGCAAGTGACGTGATGGCCATTTTGCCCTCCCTTCTCTTTTTCTTTGCCGTTTTTGTTGTATTACTCTTTTTCGTTTTCTCCCTCCAATCCCTTTTCTTTTTGCTCTACTTTTTATTCTCCCTCAATGAAAAGATAGTTAATTGTTAAAAAAACTACATTATTATTAGTATTATTTTTATTTTCTGCGAACTGGTTCTCACATGGGAGATTACTTACTAAACCATGGTGTTCTGTCTATTCGCATCATAGGTAGATGGAACGGTTCGTTTCCACTATCCACTCCAACCCTGTTATGCACAAGGAAAATTTGTCCATGCGTGCATTTGCGTCCCCAGATGTATCTATCTAAAAATAGATGAAACTAACGGTACAAATGTTTTCTTCATGAAATTTTTATTTTTAAGTCTTAAAATTTATTTTATTTTACATATTCATGATCTCTATAATAGATATTGCTCTTAACATTTGGGTTCTAAAATCCATCTCAAATATAGTATAGTTTTTTAAGAGGGGACTCTTTTCAACGTTAAAACGGTGTCCTATGTACAATGGTACAGTATGCAACTAAGTGCCATCAACTATGCAACTAAATGCCAACAACCATGTTTGGAATCAATTAATGGTTAATACAGTTTGTATCCTTAAATTTTTTTAGAAAATTATGGATACTTTTATAGAAAATTATGTATTCACTCTCCA